ACTGAGCTATATATGTTTTGTAAATCTACTATACCCGATTGTAATTTTAAATAAATGTTTTGCCTATTAGCTTCCAATACATTTCTTGTAAAATTACAATAGAAATTTTTAACAGTGTATATACTTCAAATTTGATAGGAATCTTCTGTAAGAGGTGTAGAAATAGTCTAAGAACGAATTTTACGATAGCTCACTCCACAGGGGGTTGCGGGGGTGGGTATTAACAATTAAAATTTTTAATTTTCCAGCTCAAGCTCCTACTGGCTCCAAATTTTGTAGGAATTTTCTATAAGTAATGTAAAAATGATTTATGAACGAATTTTACGATATTCCACCCCAAAGAAAATCGCGGGGGCGTTAACAATGAAAATTTTCAATTTCCAAGCTATAGCTCCTATAGACTCCAAATTTAGTAAGAGTCTTCTATATGTAATATTAAAATGATCTAAGAGCGGATTTTACCGAAATGTTATAATGATTGCACATTGAAAGTTACAATGAATATTAGCGAGAAAAATCACCTGGATGAAAGATACAGGCTAAATCGATGGAATTTGGAATTTGTGTAAGTCTAAACAATAACGATGCTTACAGTTCTATTCGCAGGGCATATTTATGTTCATACAAAAATAAAAAAAAAAGGAGAATAATAAAAATATGAAAAAAAAAAATCTGGAAAACGGTTGACCCTAAAGGCCATCCTTGCAACTTCCCGCCAATTCCATACCTAAACGCTTGAAATTGGACTTACGACGTTTCTGAACTCTTCGAGCTCAAAACAACAATTTGTGTATGCTTTTGAGCTCTTCGAGCTCAAAAGTCTGATAGAATTTCTAAATGAATGAATCGATTTTCATGTGGTTGGCAGAAATTCACGCAGTTTTTTAGAATCTATGATATACTTTTGAACACAAACTGATTGAACTGAAAATCTTAGAGAAATTCGAAAAATTCACTTTTTCCGAATTTTTTCGACAACGATAACTCACGAACCAATCAACCAATTTCTACGTTCTTCGTAGTGATCGACGTAATTTTTTGAGCTCTAATAATTATTTCATGTCGTCAGAAACTATCTGAAAAGAAATCTCGAAGTTATGTGAAAAAAACACTTTTTGGGAAATATTTCGTTTTCGATAACTCTCGAACGAATCAACCGATTTTGATGGGACTGATGGCAATCGACGTGGTTTTTCAAGCTCAAGAGCTGATTAGTTTTTGGAATTGATCGGTGGAGCCATTTAACAGATTTTTTGAAAAAATAAATTTTTTGAAATTTTTCGTTTTCGATATCTCACGAACGAATCAACCGATTTTGACCGGTCCAACGGTGATCGACGTGGTTTTTCAAGTTTAAGAGCTGATTAGTTTTTGGAATCGATCGGTAAAGCCGTTAAAAAGTTATTCCAAAAAAACGATTTTTCAAAAATTTTGTTTTTGAGATTTGTAAAAATCTAGCGAACCGAATCAATTCAAATTTTCACGAAATTTAATGGCTATGATACTCTTTGGATCGCCACCAATTTCGATCCGATCGGCTAAGCCGTTCAAAAGTTATAAGAGGTTTACATACACACACACACACACACATACAGCCGCACGGACACCATCGCGGGAATAGTCAGGAAAGCTTCCTAGAACCTCAAAACGTCGAGATCTGATGAAAACTCGATTTTCAAAAAACGGGGTAACACCAATAACTTCCCGATTTTTGAAAATTTTCAATTTTCTTAGCGGGAAGTTAAAAATATCCGATATCAAAAAAAATTATTTCTCAAATAATTGTTTAAACAAATGGCTATAAACAATAGATGGCCCGAGATTTCTCAAAAATGACTGCGATATTCGGTTTCAGCGGGTCAAAATACATAGAGCAATCATATTTTGTACGCCAACCTCAAAATTTAACGAAAAAATAATACAGCGCCTACACTAGTATCTGAAGAGTAGCTCAGTCAGTTACTTCTAGTAGCTGAATGGTACGCTCTGGGACTGACATGCAGGAGGACCCTCCCCACCATCCTGACTCCCGTCCCCACCTTATGGTCCACTTTTTGTAGGCCCCTGGGCCAGTTAATGTTTCATTGGTTTTTTTTTATTATTTTATTTTCCAATGTTTTATTATTTATTTATTTATGACAGTAGACTTATCGCAATGTCACTATATAACATTATTTAAACTTATTGCAATTTTTCAAGTACAGATAATGGAGAGACGCTTTACCTATAAAAATAAATTTTACTATTATTTTTATTTTATGAACTGTTTTATAAATTGATTCTAATCAGATCAAATTTGATCTGGACAGATCTGGCCAAAATGCAGATCAGCTCAGATCTGATTTGATCAGATCTAAACTTGTCTTCCCGGAAAGCTAGTAAAAAAGCTTTAATTGAAAAAAAGAAGGAGAAGAATAAAAAAATTTCAAGTGAATCAGAAGAATAATCGTCATCAAAATGAATTTGTGATTATTTGTGACCTAAAGAAATGTGACAATGTTAATTATTGCTATTATTTATATTATTTTATAAAAAAGTACGATTTAAAATTATATTGTATGTTTAGTTTTGTTAAAGATGTCGTTGATACTTCAAAAGTACTGCATAAATTAAATTACATACATGTAGTTTACAAAATTACACTGTTAAAAATTTCTATTGTATTTTTACAAAAAATGTGTTGGAAGTAATTACGCACCCCAATTTAGTAATTTTAAAACTCAGTTTTGTAAATTTACTATACTATTTGTTGCAAGACTAAGAAAATCGAAATTATTGATCATGAAAAAAAAAATCGAAATTACATAATGAAATATTTTTGCATAATTTAATTTAAGTTTTTAGATAATTCTTTGTTATGAAAAGAATTTTTAATGTCTCCATTGTAATAAATAAATAAATTTTCGGTACATTTTTTTTTGTAATTTTTCTTCTCGGAAATAAAATTCCAAAAAACGTTTGTTAATATAAAAAGTTTTCTTTAAAATCTCAGCAAATAGTCTCGTACAATTGCTGCGCTCATTGAAAGAATAAAAATTTTCGATAAAATTACAATGCACAAAGTAATTGTACAACCGAAAATTGAATAATACAAAAAAAAGTATTAAATTTTTAAAGTCGTCATTGTAATTCATATTACAACTTTAGTTCGTGAAAACCAAAAAAATTCTGGTAAATAAAATTATAAAAAATGTTTGCAAATATAAGACATTTTTAAAGTAATTCAGCAAACAGTCTTGTAAAATTACCACACACATTAAAAAAAAAATAATTGTTGGTGAAATTACAATTCAGGATATAATTTCACAATCAAAATTTGAATATTACAAAGAAAATTATTAAATTTAAAATGACCCCATTGTAATTTCTATTACAACTTTGTTTTGTGATTTTACAAAAATTTCTAGTAAACCAAATTACAAATAATGTTTGTAAATCTAAAATTTTTTTCATGAAATTCGACAAACAGTTCTGTAAAATTACAATACAAGTACGATTTTTACATTAAGATCGTAAAATTACAACACATCCTACTAAGTTTCCTAACATCTTTTGGAAAATTACTAGAATTGTTTCATAATTTCGCAGTGGTAAACATCGATTTGTAATTTTACTCAACCTTTGTTTTGTAAAATGATTGTAATTTTACAAACATTTTTATACTTATAATTATTTCAGCGGTCAATTAATTGGAGAACGGTCGATCATTTATTGGGTTTCTTCGGTCAATAATTGGTGCATTTACCCTATAACAAATTGTTTATAAAATAAACAATGAAAATAAAAAAAAATTTTTTTTCCATAAATATATTGAGAATTGTAAATGATGATCATTAAAAGAAAAATTAATTATCAATAAATGATTTAAATGGTGGATAAAACAAAAAAACAATTAAAAAATTGTCTTAAGAAAAGTTTTTTTTTTAATATTTATTTTATGAATACAATAAAGTGATTAAAAAAAAATATTCAACTTGTCTATTTGTTTATAACAAATTTTCAAACAATGAACATTAAACATATTTTAGCCAAACTATTAAACGCAATGTATTGATACAAAAAAAAACCCAAATTAAAAATTTAGGACAAAAATTTTTTTTATTACAGTAGCCGGATAATTAAATTGTTAATAACTTTGAAGAATCATTAAAAACTAATGAAAAAACTTTTACAAACTTTTCCGATGGAATTTTGTTCATCATTCACATAAAAAGAGCTCCTAAAAAAAAAAATTTATAGACACATCTTTGGTGGTGTAGGAAAATAATTTGATGGTAATAGATGGTTATTGGAGTTGTCAAACATTTGAAATGATGAATTGTTATTCATTGAATGAAAATATATCAAAAATTAACGCGGATGGAGTAAAATAAATAGATTACACCAACTTAAAATGTCACGGATAGATAATTGACACCGAAAAAACTTTACACCGCTCAGCTGTGCAAATTCTTCTATATTCAAAAATTAACTTAGACCAGTGAAGATGCAATTTTGGAAGAAATTGTAATAAAGAACTTATTGGAATACTTATAGGATCTTAAAAAATTAATTTAATTTCATCAAAAAACATATGTTTATTGCAAAGTTTAATTATTTATCTAGTGAAAAATAAATATGTTGATAAATAAAAAATTCATTTCAAATCGAAAAAGTAGCCGGTAATAAAGAAATAATTTATAGCAAAACGACTTAGTCCTTGATTATCTCAGCGTCAAAACCATTGCAACGCATTCCTGGGTTCGGTGTCGATTTGGAATATGTACACACCTACTTGACTAGTAACAAAGACTAGAAATAATGTGCGCGCGCAAGTCCGCGCCTGATGGAAATGAGAACACATTTACATGCATACTACAATCATACATAGTAACAAAGCGTTCCTCTGATGGTGTGACGCATGATCTGCAGTGATTTGATAGCTTATATAGTAAAATTTGATGAATGTTAAATATAAATTGCACCAAAAGACATCCAGTGAATGTAAAATTTAAAAAATAATGTCTCGGGATTTTTATTTGAAAAAATATAGAACCACAGGTAGTGACCGACGCACAAAAAATAGTAAGTATCCATATAACCTCGTTTGTAATTTCCAGTATAACCTGGATTATTGTTGTTGATAATGGCTACTGTTATAAATATTATATGATGCTGAAATTAGCAATTAATTGACAACGAACAGATTTAATTAAATAAGTAATTAAATCCTAAACGTTGTTTTTTAAAAATTTTAGTTCACACTATTTTACAACTATCAAATAGAAATTTGTTATAAGAAAATTATTTTCGGATTTGTTTGATAAATGATTCATATAAGTTAACCAAATTGAAACCAACATACATCTAATAATTGTAGTGATTTTTATAGTTAGTGAAAAATTGTTGGAAAATTAATTAAAAAAATTTAACGTTTATAAAATTTATAAAATTGTAATAATTCACACTCGGGAAAAAATTTTATTTTAATTGATTAGGTATAAAAAATATTTAAACTGTCACATAATGTGTATTGCTTTCAGTACCACAACAATTATCAAAGATCAGCTGATTTAATTATTATAATTTTTACAGAAGATCGTAGGACAGATATTCCTAGTGAAAGTATTGAGAAAGACCCTCTGGTGATAGATTTACAAGAGCAACTACTACCCAAGCCTCCCGCTCGAAAACCAAGAAGAAATCAGAAACAAAAGAAAGGTAATAAAAAGATATAAATATATATTGACATAATAAGAAACGATTAAACTTAAGATTTTTGCAAACTATATTTTATTAGATAGAGGCAAAAACAATTATTAAAAATTATTGTATTAGGGACTGCAAATGCAGCCAAGCAGATTTCATAACAGAATTGTACGCTAAAAAATTTATTTGCTTCTGTTATACATGTTGGTAATACACATTATATCATTGTAGGTACACAGAGAATTAGCCAAAGCCAATTACCAATTGAAGATATAAAAGTGGAGCCACGTAATACTCCTTCGCCCGAGAAAAGTAAAAATAAGACAAAAAAGGTATTATTGATTTATATAATCATAAAAAAGTACATAAAAATATGAAAACATTCGGTTCATTAAAGAGAAAGAATGTTGAATGAAATAAAAAATTTTTTTTCATTTATTAATTTAAATTAATTATTTAATTTTTTTTAAATTTAAAAAAAAGGAAAAATAAATAAATAAAATAATGTAAAGGATAGTATAAAGTTCGTTGAACCAATCTATTGTTATTGTCTTCAATACATTCATATTGGGTCTAGAATTATAGAATAATCAATCTTTATTCAAATAAATTATTGAAAATAATGCAAGATTTTCTCAAAATTGATTGTTTTCCTCTCTATTTCATCAGTAATAGGTAAAAATTTAGGTACAAATAATGAAAATAATTATTGATTTCTTTCAGATGTCCGAAAGAGTTAATGAAAGTGTCGGCGCTCCCGTCTCAAATAGATTGTTAAAAAGGGTGTTAAAAGTTATTTCTCAAACAAAGGTAAGATGCAACTAACGAAGAGTATGAATAATCTAATTTCTTATTAACTAAAATAATACAATTGTTACAGAGAGCTAAAAACGATAATGCTCCAGCTACTTCTAGTAGGACTGAGGAAATCAAAAGTAGTATTCTTGCCTCTAATGCAACTCAAGTTTCGGCAAATGACTTGATGCTTGTATTGAAAGATGCTGAAAAAACTTTAAAGGATTTGAAGGAAAATCGCAATTATTTAAAGAACCCGTGTTTCAAAAATTCCACTACAACAAACTCAAAAAAATCAGATCGGCCACTCAACCAACAAGAGACAAGTACCCAAACCTCGCCACCAGCAAATAAAAATAATAGTGAACGACCTACACTAAAAGATAATAAAACACGTCAAATTCGGAATGAACCTTTCAGAACGGAAAGGTCCTATTCACGGAATGTTAATACATACCAACATCCACGTTCATTACGTGAACAGTCAAACAATACAATTGTCCACTCACAACGGATCAATACTGATCAAGCATTCGAAACCACACCGCGAAATTATAAACCTTTTAATTATTCAGATTCACCAAACGTACAGTTGAATAATAGCTTTTTTCAGCCGCCAAATAACGGTTATCAAGCCATTTGCAATCCTCAGCTTTACAGTAATCCCCCTTGTTACGTCCGAGTGACGATAACACAATTAATTTATCAGTTCCTTAAATTTGAGACTAATCACCGAAGATTATATGTCTCGGGAGGCGGGAACCGCGCCTATAGGTAACTGCACGCGGGTTTCGTATGATAATGACTCGAAAAAATGATAATAGTTTGTTGGGGAACCCCGGCTCTATTAGGGTATCCCTTTTGGGGTAGGTCAGGGCACAAGCGAAAGAGAAGGCAAGTAAAATGGTATTGGATAGACTAAGAAAGAATTATACCTGAGTGAGTGAGATACCGAATTGTCGTTGGGCCCTCGTCCAAATACCTGAATGTCGGAGTTGCGAGGGTCGTTGACCGATGCACCGTGACTGTCGATTAATTAACTAAATAGTCAGGATAATTAGTTAAGGTGTTTATTAATAAATTCGGAGTAATTAAGTAACTTACGATTGTTTATTGCAATATATTGCGAATACAAGGAATAACTATCAATGGTTGACTGGTCGGAAATGGAGCTGATTATTCAACAATTAATTATTTTAGGATAATAACAAAAAAAAACTGCTGAACTACTGATCACACTCGCGATTATAGAAAATACTGATGCTTCCCGGGTGCTGTGGCTGGGTTTTTATACACTTCATAAGTCCCTCCTCCTCATTTACAATTACAATAACCCTTCATATAGGATTTTGATGGAATGTATAGATAACGACTTACGGAATTTGGGGATCGCTATGCAATAGCAACACTAAGACATAAAAACTCTCTCCTATTTTCTGAGAATTTAAACACGGTCGGGTTAATTCTGATTACCTGTGAACTGCGTACCGTGACTCAGCGGTTGTTTGCTCAGGTGAGAATGCTCGTGATGGACCTGCTAGCCGTTGCCGCGATTAGCCTTCCCCTTATCTTTCAGGATGATTTTCTTATAGCGAGAGTTTTCTATCTCGATAATGAAACTCCGATTTCTCTATAGCACGGGTGGCCCAAATATTCTTGGTTATCTAAATTTCTTATACTTTTAATTCCGGCTTGGTAATTATTTATTTAGGATACGCGAGATATCGCGGCGTACATTCACACGGTGTATACGTTCTTTTGATTTGGAAATTCCTACGTGGTAATTGTTATTCCCTTTTTCACGTTGGCTGGACCGCGATGATTTTTTTTATCTTTCTATACTCCGACTAGCTGATAACCGGGTGTAGTTGTTCGGAGATTATTTGTTCAAGGAATAAAATATTTCCGTTCGCTTTTATTTATTAATTAATTTCTTTTCTCTAAACTTTTTAAATTTTATTTGGATTCCTTAAAATCGCCAATATATTAATCCGAATTCTATAAATTTTTAAACAATTGCTCTATTAAATTACTTATTTTTAAATCTTTAATTAATTATTAAAGCCGATGGCTTGTTGATTGAGTTTAGGCACTCGATTAAACTCAATTTATGATGAAAAAAAAAATATTACACAATTGATAACTTTTTAATAATCGCGGAGTGTAGTACGGGTAATAAGAACTTCGCGAGAGTGCCCTTTTCGCTTCCGCGACTGGGGTTTTTATATCCGCGGATCCGCCATTGTATCATAGTGGCTAGTCACGTAACCGGGCACAGGCGTTGCCGTATTACGTGACTCATTTAGAAAATTTTAGATGTTTAAAATATGATTAATTAGGTTAATATTATAATGGGATATATAAAGTCGTACCCGAAATTTTGCTATAATATTTTGATATACAAAGAAATATCATTTTCATGCATAAACCATGCATTTATTAATGTTTAACACGATCCCCATGTATTTTGAATAAATACATGGTGTTATATATTTTACATATAGTTTTATATACTGAGTAATATAGCAATTTACGTATGGATCATTATAGACTGACTAATGTATTGTTTACGCGACTACATTTTCATCATTCATTGGTAATACCTTATATTATATATATTTTTAATGATTTATAATAATTTTATGCGGGAGTGTGCGGTACATATTTCCACATAAGGTCATATTCGAGATATTTAGCTGCTGATTGTTTTTCCATTGGGTACATACGCGATGGGGTCCTAGATAAAAGGTTATTTGCCGAGGTTTACAGGCGGCTTTTTGGGATAAATAAAATAATGTTTTTCCCTCAAGAATTTTTGGTGATGAGTAATCGCAACTAAGGTTGTAAGCTTTTTCAAAATCTCGTACGAGTAAATATTGTTATCTGTATTTTTCTTTCGTCTTATGTAAGACAGAGAAAATGATTTTTTTAAAAAAAAGAAGATTATTTATTCCGGTTTGAAAATTTTTTTTTTTCACCAGGGACCGGGTAGCAACAGCGGAGGACAATAGATTCCCTGCGATATATGGTTTTTAGGGCCCTCCCACAATAGTTATGGCGTCTTTAACTATTAACATAATAGTTACGCCTTCCTCTAGCCTACTCTGAAGAGGAAACTGAGGGACTTGGGGTGGGCGGTCCTTAGGGGTACAGCGATGCAGTAGTTCTCAGTTCCTTTATTAATTAGGTTTTTCCGTTGACCAATTAATTGATCATTAAGGTATTACGCGAGGCCGTAACACCCTAACAGTCAACCTGAACAATTTACAGAAATATATACTCGCGATTACCGAAATCAAACAATCAATTCGCACCAACAACATACAAACATCCAACCACCAATGCCACAATCAAGCAATTTAAATATTCAACAGATCATACCGCAATCGAGTAATTCAAATTTACAGCCTTCTGCAAGTCTACAGTTGCAACATATACCTCAAAAAGTAGCTCACGAAGCCATGAATAAAAATAACATCCCGACATTGTATCAATCTAACCATTTTCAAGACGTAACCAATCTGCCAACATCCAACCCCCAGGCATACAATTCCCAAATATACAGCCCTCAAACATTCAATCCCCCGCCATACAATTCACAACCATACAGTCATCAAGCATTCAACCCCCAAACTTTTAATAGTAAACCATATAATCCACAAGGATTCATTCCGCAACAGTATAATCCCCAACAATACATCATGCAAACATTCAACCAACAGTAATACAATAATTGACAATAGTGAAGGAACGTGAGGGTTAGTAATGACAGCTTATAAAGATATATATCAATCTATTTTCATGAAAAAAAAAAAAAAAAAAAAAACGTAGGAGTAAGAAAATAATAGCTGATAATGTTTAATAATAATAAAAGTATACAAAATAATTATTTTGGCTTGATATTTATTACTTTGTATCAAATAAATAACTTTGTAAGAGTTGAAGAAAAATAAAAATGTCCTACACAATATTTTTGATGAATTGAGTTAAAATTAGCAGACATCAGGAAATTTCGGGGAATTTGTAAGTAAATAAAAAGTGAAAATAATTTTGTAAAATTATCAAAGTAATTAATTAATGCTAAGAAGAATATTTATTAAATATTGGATTTTTCTTTTTTCTTTTAGAAGTGATTTTTTTTTTTTTAAATTTTCTCTATAGAATTATTTTAATAATTATTTTAAGAATTATTTTAATAATTCATCACTCAAAAAAATTCGTTTTAATTGACGGATGTCTGTTATTTTTTAGTATCATAAAAATAAAATTTACTGTTAAGAAGAAAATAACTCCGAAATTATGGGAATAATTTAATTTATTTTTTGCAAGTAAAAATTTTTTTCAACTTCTATTTTAATCATTTTTTTGTGAAGAAGAACTTCAGAATTATTACTTGCTTGTATATGTTGATACGATTTCAATATTTCTTATGATATAGATTATAGCTTAAATATTTAAAAAGAAAAAGTTAAAGATGAAGCTGTCTTGAAATAATTAATTTCAAAAAACGCGCCTCTATATTCACTTGGCGCTCAGCACACCAACTAACTATTCTACCGCCGCCGTGATCATAACCAGTAGTCTAAGCATATAAACTCAAAATGGCGGATCAAGTGTAAACACACTGAAAAAATAATTTCAAATGTAAATAATTAAATTAACTAATCAGTGTTATATTAAGTTGAAGTGATGTAATAGTGGTAAATTATTAAACAAATAGTGGTATGGAAATAATTCAAATAATATTGGAATAAGATTTGTACAGCTGAAGAAGCGTAGATTATCCACGTGCATCGAACCTAGCCAAATATTTTAATTATTGTAAGTAGCAAACAATTTATTATTTGCCGTGAATAGTGATATTATATATGTTACAATGATTGATTAAATTTATAAAGTGACAAAAAAATTGGCTTCGATGTAATAAAATTGGTACTAAATATTTTAATCGCTGTGGGAAATAAATATCAATGATAGGTTATAAAACGAAATAAATATTTCTGTCTATATACAAATTATAATTCGAAATTATATAGCCAACATCTCACAATTAAAAAGAATTTTTAAACAGATGAATATAATGAGTGAGGGCTACTTTTTCAGTCCACGATTAATTTGTATTCACCGCTGTAATAGTTAATAGTAATTAAAAATTCAACTACAATAATAACATAATATGTTTACAAATAATGTCTGTAGTTACAGGACTGAAGTCAGTGTATCAATAGTGCAATGAAAATTTCTCAATCAATGAATGTGAAGTCCCAAATAGATAATGAAATCATCTAAGATCGTCGTCAAGTACAGCTATTGTGATGAAAAAAAGTTTTTTAGTTCAACATAGCCACTTCAATAAGCCAATGAAATATGAAGATATATGTGTATGAGAAAAGTGAATAGTGACTGCCAGTCGATGATAAACTTTCAGAACTTTTGACAACTTTAAATCAGCGAATATATTTCATAACAAATTATATTTTGTAACCTATTTATTGACATCAAAATTTCGTTTAAAAAAATTATAATTAGGTAAGTGCAATAATCAACATACTTTTAAAGATAAAAATGTAACATTCTAATATATTGTATTTGTTATTATAGAACTTCAGTCGATGTTTCAATGGAACCATAAACATTTGTAAATGAAAGAATACAAAACAGAAAATTAAAGTAAATAGTAAAATTAATCAGAAGGGACTGAAAGTGATACCTTCAAATTCGAGGAATGCGCAGGTAATAAAAGAAAGTTATTTATACATTCAATTTTTCTTTTGTTTCGTAAGCACAAATAATTTTTAATTTTTAACTTTAACATAATGGACAACAATCTAAAATTAAATAAATGTGATAGTTTCAGTTCATAAATAATTGAACAAAAGTTGAATGAATTCATGATATCATACCGTTGAGGTTATTGTAAATACCATAATAGTTATGGAAGTGATTTAAAAAAAAATATAAACAGTTCCAATAGTGCAGATTCACATAATCTGTACAATATCACAATTAAGTTAATATAATTTTCGAAATTTTCAACAGACCTGAACGGTAAAATATGTCACTAATAATTTGATAAAGATAAAAGATGAGTTTAAAAAATTTCATCGTCTGGTTATGTAAATTATAACATCTAAATGAAGCTAAAGCCTAAATTGAGGTATAGTTAGTAGATAATTTTATAAATAGTAATTTTTTTTTAATGAGAACAAAGAAATTGTTTATGATAGTAAAAATTAAAAATTATAAAAATTGTGATACAAATAGATGATAAATATAAAAAGTTTCATCGGGTCTGGTTGTGTAAATTATAACATCTGCACGAAACTAAGACCTGAATTAAAGTATAGTGGGTTGATAATCATATAAGGTGTGATTTTTTTTAAATGAAATAATGTTATTATTTACAACAGTAGTAATTAAAAAATGTGAGAATAATAATAAATAAGTTTAAAAAACTTTATTGGGTCTGATTGTGTAGATTAAATGTCTGCATGGAGCTAAGACCTGAGTTAAAAGATAGTTAATAGATAAAGATGTAATTTGAAATTATTTTTGATCAAAATAATGTTATTCTTTACGACAGTAGTTATAAAAAATTGTAAAAAAAATAGATAATAAGTTAAAAAATGTTATCGGGTCTGGTTGTGCAGATTATACGTTTGCATGAAGCTAAGACCAGATTTTAAGGATAGTTAATAGATAATGATGTAATTTGAAATTATTTTTGATCAAAATAATGTTATTCTGTACGACAGTAGTTACGAAAAATTGTAAAAAAAATAGATAATAAGTTAAAAAAATTTTATCGGGTCTGGTTGTGTAGATTGTACGTCTGCATGAAGCTAAGACCTGATTTTAAAGATAGTTAATTGATAATTACATAATTAGTAAATTTTTTTAAATAAAAACAAAGTAATAGTTTACGATAGTAGTGATTAAAAATTGTAAAAAAAAAAGATGACGAGTTTAAAAAATGTTATCGGGTCTGGTTGTGCAGAATATACGTCTGCATGAAGCTAAGACCTGAATCAAGGTATAATTAACTGATAATTGTGTAATTTTTGTAAGTAAAATAATGTTATTCTTCACGACAGTAGGAATTAAAATTGTAAAAAAAATAGATAATAAGTTAAAAAAATGTTATCGGGTCTGGTTGTGCAGAATATACGTCTGCATGAAGCTAAGACCTGAATCAAGGTATAATTAACTGATAATTGTGTAATTTGTAATTTTTGTAAGTAAAATAATGTTATTCTTCACGACAGTAGTAATTAAAATTGTAAAAAAAGTAGATAATAAGTTTAAAAAGTTTTATCGGGTCTGGTTGTGCAGATTATACGTTTGCATGCATCTAAGACCTGATTTTAAGGATAGTTCATTGATAATTACATAATTAGATAATTTTTTTAAATAAAAACAAGGTAATAGTTTACGATAGTAGTGATTAAAAATTGTAAAAAAAAAAGATGACGAGTTTAAAAAATTTTATCGGGTCTGGTTGTGCAGATTATACGTCTGCATGAAGCTAAGACCTGAATAAAGGCATAATTAACTGATAATTGTGTAATTTGTAATTTTTGTAAGTAAAATAATGTTATTCTTCACGACAGTAGTAATTAAAAATTGTAAAAAAAATAGATGATAAGTTTAAAAATTTTTATCGGTTCTGGTTGTGTAGATTATACGTCTGCATGGAGCTAAGACCTGAATTAGTGTATAGTTAATAGATAATGATGTAATTTGGAATTATTTTCAATCAAAATAATGTTATTCTTCATGACAATTGTTATGAAAAAATTGTAAAAAAATAGATGATAAGTTCAAAAAATGTTATCGGGTCTGGTTGTGTAGATTATACGTCTGCACGAAGCTAAGACCTTATTTAAAGGATAGTTAATAGATAATTATATAATTTGTTAATTTTTTTAAATTAGAACAAAGCAATATTTTACGATAGTATTAGTTAAAAATTGTAAAAAAAATAGATTATGAGTTTAAAAATTTTTATCAGGTCTGGTTGTGTAGATTAAAACATCTGCACGAAGCTAAGACCTGCATTGAGGTATAATTAGCTGATAATTATGTAAGTTGTAATTTTTTTAAATTAAAATAATGTTATTCTTCACGACAGTAGTAATTAAATAATGTTATAATACTCATAAATAAGATTAGAAAATTCCATCGGGTCTGGTTGTGTAGATTATACGTCTGCATGAGGCTAAGACCTGAACTGAAGTCTAGTGAGTTGATAATTATATAATTCGTAATTGTTTTAAAATAGAATTACGTTATTCTTCTTGTCAGTGGTCATTAAAAAATGTGATAAAAATTATTGATAAGTTTAAAAAATTTATTCTGGTCTAGTTGTGTAGATTTCTATGTCTACATCAAACTAATAACTGAATTGATATTATAGTAAATCGATACTCGTAGGATTTGTTATTCTCTATTAGAAAATTAAGCTGTAATCTACGGTTTACGTTGTTTAATAGTATAGTAATAACAAACATGAAAATTTGTATGAGTCTGGTGTGCTTACTTCCGTAATCTTTATAAAGCCAGAATTTTTATTCAAATTTTTATAAATTTTGTAACTAGTTGTATTTAAATGAAAATGGAAATTTTTTTTGAGATTACGATAAAAGATACAAATTTTAATATTACTTGTGAAGCGGGATTCTTCCAATTGAACAAATACTGAAAATTTGTATTTTTTTTATGGTATCGTAGTCAATTCTCAAAATAATTTACATTCATTCCTTCAGAGAGGGCGTAAGTCGCTTAAGTTTTTTACGTGCCGGTAATTCAGTTGAAAAATAATTCTTATCTGGTGAGCTTCTGATTTCAGGGAAGGAACCCCTTTTATCATAAAATTATCTATAAACCGCTCTTATTAACTTATTAATATAATTATTATAAAAAATACTCTGAACAAAAATTTTTTTCAACTTAACCTAAAAATTAAAGTTAAAAAAATAAAACCCAAACTTTTTAATAATTGAATTTATTTACTAATCACTACAAACTACTAAAAGAATCAAAAAACTCAAAAACCAAAGTCAACATCGGTGTGAAAAATAAAATTCTATTATTAACGTCCAAGTCCAGGTACTCCAGGTACTCCAGGTACTGAGTGACTCAAAGTTCCTTCAACATGAATAGTAACATACGGATCTTTTCCAGGTTCATACATGGTGATATCAGCGACGACATCGCCATCCGGGAATCCCGGAGGTATTTTGTCATTCCCAATCGTGACCTTGCTTAATTCAAAGTTGCTACCCTGGAAGACCGAATTAATATCAATAAGTAACAAAAAATTAAGAAGCTAACTTGGTAAAAAATACTTACAGGTTTGACTGGACACAACTGGGGAAAAGCTCCCTTGGGTATTCCATGTGACAGCACATCTTTTCCGTAAGTTTCATCTTCGAATGCCTCGCAAAGAAGAATGTCTAATCCTCCTACATCATCTCCGGCAAATTTAACTTTAGCCTCCATCTGTTAGAGGTAAGTTTTTAATCAATATTAATTATATCAATTATATCACCACTGCTAAGATTTTTGCCAGAAATTCAAAATAATAATTCATAATAAATAGTTCAAATTTTTTATATTAAGGCTAAAATATTAATATTTTTTTTAAAGTATAATAAATTAGTTTTAAAAAAAAAAAGTTGGTAAAAATTTAATTTTAAAATTGCGGTAAAAATTTATGATAATAATTAAATTAGCCGACATCTAAAAATTTTTTTTAATAAAAAAAAAAAAAAATTTAATTTGTGGGATTCGAAAAAAATATTTTTTAATTTTAATTTTACAATACATTACCATCATATTGTCCGGCAAATCTTTCTTCACAGGTGATTTGACACTGACTGTGTCAGGGCTGTGAATCACAGCTGACCAATCATCAAAGTACGGATTACCTGGTACATTTTTGACCTCAACAACGTTGAATTTAAACTGCGCCGTAGGCTGAAAAAATTTCCAGAGTATTAACAACAATATCAATTGACAAACTTGGTGAGTACTTACATCTTGGCCAGAAACAAAGCTGATCGACAAAATGGCCGCTAATAGACTCAACTTAAGTGCCATCTTGCGCTTCTTGAAGAACTGTAGCAAAGCACAATTTTTCCGCTTATTTATACCTTGATCTTAACTATTATTGATCTGATTATTACGTAAATTTTTAGAAAATGATTAATATCTTGATTTAGATCGCCTGTAGTTTTTATCGGCGAATTTTTTTAACCGGATGTTATGTACCTATGCGTGTCAAAAGTCACTTTGGTAAAATCACACACTATTAATTTTTTTATTTAAGGAAATCCAAGTACCCTCCAAGAGTAAAGATTGTCTATAAAAAAATAATACGTAGAAATACTTTTGTTATCTTAAAATTAATTTTTAAATTAATTAATAACATTTTTAGGAAAATTTCCGATAAATTTACTCATTAAATAATTATTAATATTTGATTGGCTAATAAAAAATATAGCACTCTGAATTACCGGTACAATCTTGACAACACCAAAAACGTTCCCTCTAAAAGTCATTTTTAAATTTGCCGCGCTTGGTATTACAAGCCGCCATTTTGTAGCGCGATAATTGCAGCCGCCATCTTGTTGAAAGGTGTTCACCAACTCTTTTTTTATGATTTCTAATGAATTAACCTTTTATAAAACGATTTTATGCAATAAAAGCTTGAACGATTATTTTTTAAGTCGATTTTTAACTAACAAGTGAAAAAAAATTAAATATCCCGGTAACGTACTGTTTTTTAATTTTTTTTTATTAATTATTAGGCTACGTAAATTGAATTTACAAATTTTCGGGAAGTTTTAAAAATTTGACTATTTTGCGTGGATCTCCTGAAGAAAAAAAATTTTTTTTTTATTTCAAGGATTTTTTATAATAATGATATTTATCAATAATTGTTTGCTAATTTTATTACTCATTAATAATCTCAGTATTAATTGTTTGAAATTTCTAACCTAAAAATTTTTTTTAAGGTTAACTACTAATTGTTTTTAATTTACAGAACAATTTTTTATAAATATAATTATTACAAAAAATAATTTTTTTGATTTAAGCTTAACCTAAAAATTCAATTCAAAAAAATAAAATCCAAATTTTTTTAATGATTGCATTTATTTAATATTCACTATAAACTACTAACAAAATCAAAACTCAAAAACCAAAGTCAACATCGGTGTGAAAAATAAAATCCATTATTAACGTCCAATTCCGGGTACTCCAGGTACTGAGTGACTCAAAGCTCCTTCAATATGAACTGTAACATACGGATCGTTTCCAGGTTCAAATAAGGTTATATCAAGGACAACATCGCCATCCGGGAATCCGGGAGGTATTTGGTCATTCTCAACCTTGATCTTGCTTAATTCATAGTCGCTACCCTGGAAGAGCGAATTAATATCAGGTAATAATAATAAATTAAGAAGCTAACTTGGTTAAAAATACTTACAGCTTTTACTGGACACAACTCGGGAAAAACTCCCTTAGGGAGTCCATGTGACGAGAATTCTTTTCCGTGGGGATCGTTTTCGAATGCCTCGCAAAGTGATACTTCAAAATCTCCTAGAGGAGCTCCGGCAAATTGAGCTACAGCTGTTAGCTGTTAAAGAGGTAGTTTTTAATTAAATACTGGTGGAATCTCCATTCATGTAAAAATTACAATATTCACCCTAATTATTTAATTAAAATTCCGGAAAACTGTTTTTTAATTTTATTAATTATTAGGCTCCGTAGAATTTACAAATTTTCAGGAAGTTTTAAAAATTTTCACTCGGATCTCCTTAAGTAACCTATTAAAATAAATTCTCTACATTTTTAAATTTGCCGCGCTTGGTATTAGCCGCCATTTGGTGCCGCGGGAATTACAGCCGCCATTTTGTCGAATACTCTCGACAATCTCTTTTTTAAATGATTTCTCATGAATTAGCCTTTTATAAAACAATTTTATCCAATAAAAACTTGAATAATTATTTTTTGACTATTTTAACAAACAAGTGATGAATTTTTTTTTCTAAAAAAAATTTAAATTAATAATTCCATTAGTTTTAAAAATTTGACTACTTTACATGGATCTTCTTAAGTTTCACTTTTTAAAATAAATTCTCTAAGTCAATTTTAAATTTGCCGCGCTTGGTATGGCTTGCCGCCATTTTATGGCGCGGGAATTGTAGCCGCCATTTTGTCGAATACTCTTGACAATTTCTTTTTTCTGTGATATTGAATGAGAATTAGCCTTTTATAAAACAATTTTATGCAATAAAAACTTGAATAATTAATCTTTAAGTAGATTTTTAACTAATAAGTGACGAAAAAAAATTAAATATCCCGGAAACTTAATATTTTCTTTTTTTTTTTTTAATTATTCGGCTACGTAGATCTCCTTAAAGTAAATTAAAAATTACCATTATATTATCCGGCAAATCTTTCTTCACAGGTGTTTTAAAACTGACTGTGTCAGGGCTGTCTATCTTAGCAGTCATCTCATCAAAGTACGGATTGCCTGCTACAGTCTTGACCGTAATAACGTTAAATTTAAACTGCGCCGTAGGCTGAAAAAATTTTCCCGAGTATTAAGAACAATATTAATTGACAAACTTGTTGAGTACTTACATCTTGGCCAGAAACTAAGCCGACCGACAAAATGGCTGCTAGTAGAGTCAACTTAAGTGTCATCTTGCGCTTATTGTTGAAGAACTATACCAAAGCACAATTTTTCAGTGTATTTATACTTTGTTGTTAACTATTATTGATCTAATTGTTATATAATTATTGAGGTCATGATTAATATCTCGACTAATGTCGTCGGTAATTATTTTTGGTGAATTGTTTTACTGGATGTCATAATTTTTTATCACTGTTTATTGCTATTAAGATAGTTATATATTTTGTTTTATTGAAAGTGTCACGGAATGATCAATTTTTTAGAAATATTTATTATGCAATTTTAATGAAAATTAATTTAGCAGACATTTAACAATTTTTAGAATTTTTTTAACAAATAAATTATGACAAAAAAAAAAATTGACGTAGAAATTTTAAAAAATTAAAATTGCAATTTTTTTTAAAAAAAATTTTTTATAAAATTTTTTTTTTTTAAATATCAATAAATAATTAATTTTGATAAAAATTTTATTCAGAAATAAAATACATAATTAATAATTCAAAAAACAATATTGAATTTTAATAAATTTGACACTGAAATTTTATAAAAAAAAAGAACTTATCAAAAACAAAAAATGCAATTTTTTTAAAAATGTTTCGAAAAAAATAAAAAATTAGTGATAGTTTTGTTAATTAGTGTCATAATAATTTTTACAATAACAAAAATTATTTAAAGCCAAATGTTGGAACTCCAGATAGTCCAGGATATGTGTGCAACAAGTCACCTTCAACATGAGCAGTAGCAAGAGGATCATGACCAGGCTCATACAAAACAAGTTCAACTTCGAATCTGCCGTCTGGACAACCAGGTATGATCTTCTCATTTGAAATTACGTATTTAAATATTTCATAATCTAGACCCTTAAAAAAATAATAAAAATTAATTTAGCAGATATTTAATAATTTAAAAATATTTTTAAATATCTAACAAATAAATTGACAATTAGAAATTAAAAAATAATTTTTTTTAATTAAATTAATAAAATTAAACTTACTGCTTTTATTGGACACTTTGTTGGAAATTCACCAACCGGAAGTCCTCTTTCCATGACATCCTTTGCGTAAGTCTCGTCTTCCAGTGCTTCGCACAAAGAAAGTTCTACTTCGGGAAGGGGGATTCCCATGAATTTGAGGTTAAATTTCATCTAGTAAGTAATGACTCTTAATAACTTGCTTTAATTACAATAATTAACATTTAAAATTAATAAAAATTAAGTTAACCAATATCTAAAAATTTTTACAATTTTTTTTTATATTAAAAAATTTTGATTTGTAAAAAACTTGAAAACACCAAAAACGTTCCCTCTAAAAGTCATTTTTAAATTTGCCGCGCTCGGTTTTAAAAGCCGCCATTTTGTGACGTGGGAATTGCAGCCGCCATCTTGTCGAAAGCTGTTCAAAATCTTTGTTTTATGATTTCTAATGAATATTAGCTTTATATAAAACAATTTTATGCGATATAATTATTCTTTAAGTCGACTTTTAACTGAAAAGCAATGAAAAAAAATAAAATATCCCGAAAACCTAGTGTTTTTTAATTTTTTCATTAATTATTAGGCTACGTAGATTGAATTTACAAAATTTTAAGAACTACCTTTAGTAATTTCTAACATAAATTTAATTAAAAATAAAATAAACTAAATAATTACCATGATTGTTTCTGGTAGATCTTTCTTCAGCGGTAATTTAGCAGAAATTATGTCACCGGGACTATAAAATTCTGCTGTCCATTTATCATAATACGGGTTTGGTAATGAGTTTACAATTATTTTATCCACTTTTATTTTTGCCATGGGCTGAAGAATAATTATTAATTATATTTTTTATATTAACGTCACGAATAGTTTGCTTACATCATATATTTTTATATTTTTCATCTAAATTATAAGAGTGGATTTAATTATTTTTAATTTTTAGGTTACTTACGTCATTACCCAGGACTAAGTTCGTCGACAAAATGGCCGACAAGACCAAAATTGACTGCAGCTTCATTTTCTTGACACGTAAGCTGATTATAATATTAACAGATGCTTCTCGGGAGTTTATATATTTATTTTCTAGCTTATCTTGCAGATCTATTTATATAATTTTGATCTATAAAATCTTTATCACGAATTTTTTATAGAGATAAAATCTATTTTGTAATACAGGAAGTTTGATTAACATAACTGATTAATAAGATTTTTTTTTTTAATTTTGCGCGGTAAAATATAAAAAATCGCTGATTATCATAATCAAGATTAAATTAATGTTTTTTTTTTTTATTTAAAAAAATATTAATTATTAAAAAATTTTTTGTCTTCTTATTTATTTTATTTTTTTTTTATTTTCTTTATATACATCTCAACAGCCTGATGGCCAATAACAGTTTTATTTTAATTTATTTTAATTATAAAATATAAGATTGATAAAAAATAATTATTTATTTTAGGTTAGGTTAAAAAAGAAGAAATAAAAATAAAAAATTACTTTTTTTCTGCTGACAGGATTTTTAAATAATTAAATATTGTTGGATGAAAAAAGGAGACTAATTATTGCCATAAAATTTTATTAAAATGAATTAATAATACAGATATTAAAAACCAAAACCAAATACATAAATCATATTAAGAGTAATAATTATTATTAATGCCTGTTTATTAATTTTATTAATTATTAGGCTACAGAGAATTTACAAATTTTCAGGAAGTTTCAAAAGTTTTACTACTACGTTCTCTTTTTACTGTAGCTACGTGACTAAGTTATGAAACAGGTAATGCAACTCAACAGGGTTCGATTCCCAGCATCGTTAATTTTTTTTTTTTTTTCCTTTAATAAAAATTTATAATTATTTTACGTGAATCTTAATTTAATTTAAAAATAATTTATAGTATTTATTTTAAAGTAAAAAAATAAAATAAAAAAACAATAATTTATTTTACTAATAATTTTTTATTGACACAAAATATTTACTACATAATAAAAATAATTATTTTCTAAGCTTCAGTGGAGAAAAATAGTGCTGATTTATAAACTGAAAAAGTAGGATCGTTAAAATTAAATATTAATCGCCATATGGTCGCTATAAGAATTTTAAATCAAGGATATTAATAAACTTCATAAAAATTTAAGGACCATGACTGATTTCTCCATCGACATGGATTTTAACAATAGGATCCTGGTCTGGCATGTAGATAGTAACATCAACTTTGAAAGGACCGTCCGGAGCGCTGTCAGGAACTTTTTCTTTTTCAATTACATATTTGCTTATTTCAAGATCGTTTCCCTGCAGCAGAAGTTTAAAATTAGAAACATTAATTAATTTAATAAATAATAATGATGGAAAATACTTACTGCTTTAACGGGACAATTTTTAGGGAATTTGCCATCGGGAATTCCTTTGGCCAAAAGATCTTTACCGATTGTTTCATCATCAAATGCCTCGCAAACAGTCATATCAGTATCTCCAACAACGTTTCCGTCGAATTCGATGATAGCTGATAACTTTTAATTAAAAATTTTATTATTAATTATTTATATTTTTTTTTTTTTTTTTTTCAAATACCAACCCTCATATCCTCAGGAAGGTCCTTCTTCACTGGAGTTTTTAATGACAAAGTATTGTCATTAACTATTTCACCTGACCAGTTTTCGAAATACGGACTTGATGGGACATCCATTTTTAGATTCAGCAATTTTAATTTAACCTGTAAGTTTTTATTTTATTAATAATAAAATTAAATACTAATTTATATTATCTCTAGACACATAATTAAGAAATGACCTTGTATCTTGTGAACTAATGACATTTTTAAAGATATAAGCTCATCCCGATGTTACACTTATCGAGACCTTTCATTTGAGTACCCACATCAATTTTTCATATATTTTATATATTTATATATATCATATATATGTATATATATGAAAAATATATAAAAAATTGATGTGGGTACTCAAATGAAAGGTCTAGATGAGTGTAACATCGAAATGAGCTTATATCTTAAAAAATGTCAATAATTAAGCAATGACCTTTTATCTTGTGAAATATTGACATTTTTAAAGATATAAGCTCATCCTGATGTTACACTCATCGAGACCTTTCATTTGAGTACCCACATCGATTTTTCATATATTTCATATATTTATATATATTATATATATATATATATGTATATATGAAAAATATATAAAAAATGCATGAGGGTACTCAAATGAAAGGTCTCGATGAGTATAACATCAGGATGAGCTTATATCTTTAAAAACGTCAATATTTAAAAAAGTACAGTACAATTTAACAAAATTCATTGTCTAATAAAGTAAAATTTTATTTTTTAAAAAACGAAAGCTATGAATTTATTTAATGACATTTTAAATAAATTATAAATAATTTATTTATCAAAAATAAATTAGCACTGGAAAGTTTTATAATTTATTTTATTGAAAAATTATTTTTAAAAAATTTTTATTTGTTAAATACTTAGAGTGCAATTAAAAAAAAAAATGTTTATTAATTTAACTAATAAAAAAAAAAAAAACAGGTATAATAATTTATTTACAGACATATATACTTACTCCTTGCGAAAATGCAGAGTTAACCGACAAAATGGCGACTAACAATCCAAATATTATAGAATTCATCTTGTTTATTTGGTTGATAAATTTAATTGTAACTGTAATATTTACTCACCTGGTATTTATATACAACCTCATTAATCGATTAATTAATCTGATTCTCAGATATAACTTCATTTGTTACATATACACCTAAAGATAAGTATCTCTATTGGTTTTCAATTCATGATTAATAATAATTAAGGATGTTGTATAATTTATTGTTATAAATTATTCAATCATTTTTATTGTATTATTACTATAGTTTTGTTTCAGATCCATGAAAGCGATATTAAATACACAAAAAATGAAACTTGACACCTTCCGGGCGCCATTTTCAATGTCATTGATAATTATCAGGTATTATATCATATTTTTACAATTTATATAACAACTATATTATTTTTAAAAAATAACAATTTTTATCTTTAATTTTTTTTTTTGTTATTTATTTCATAAGAATTATAAAATGTCTTATTGTCAGCCATTTTGATTTGAATAATATATATTTAAAATGGCGGATGAAAATTATTAGGAATAAATTCTGAATTTTAAGATATAAAAAATAATTAATTAAAATAAATATATTTAAAAAAATTTGATATTTAGAAAATTCTAAAAATTACAAATGCAATTTTTTAAAAATATTTTTTTTACTTATAATTTTTGTCAATTAAAAAAATAAAAAATTTTCAAATGTCTGCTAATTTTATTATCACTTTTTTTTTATGAAATTCAAATTAGCAGTCACTTAATAATTTTTTAATTTTATTTAACAAAAAAATTTGTTCCAAAAATTGCATTTTTTATTTTCTAAAATCCCTGCATGACAATTATTTTTTCTTATTTTATTTTGCCAAAATTTATTTGTTAAAAAAAAATCTGCTAAATTAATTTTCATTGATAGTTTTAAAAATAAAAAAAAAATTGACAGCTGTCAGCTGACTTCACTCTAATAAAACAATTTTTAATTTCCAAACTTTTCCCGCGTTTGCGCGCGCATTTTAAAAATCTGCGCGCGCAGCTAGTGGTGTCATGGCGTCAGTGTCTAAATTCTGCAACTCAAGATCCCGAATCGCCTTTTTAAATATGCAATTTACGAGCATAATTTACCTAAAATACCTTCAGAGTACCTCAATAATTAAAAAAGTGTAATAATAGTAATTATTAATCTTACTTACGGCTAAAATTAGTGTTTTAAAAACAGTTTTTAAAAAACAAAACAAAAATCGATTATTCAAAACATGATTCGCGTTTGGTCTATTTACTAACTTTAGTAAATAATAATAATATTAAAATAATAATAGTTTAATAATAATAAATTAAATTATTAATTAGTGGTTTTTTTTTAAATTAGTGAATTTTTTTTTAATAATTAAAAAAATGGCAGAAAATCATTGCGATTCGCGAAACGAAGAGATACAAAATATAAATCCTGTCGCGACAGTGCAAGGACATCCATCATGCAATTCCATTCGACAGATTGGTTATGTACCGTGTACTCCACCGCCGTCGTACAATAATATTAATTTACCTCCAGGACATCCGGCAAATTTAATCAGCGACCGCGGAGCTCCACCGTCTTATGAAGAAGTCATAGATCGCAATGGTAATTTTTTTTAATTGCTTTTTAATAAATGAAAAGAAATTTAGGAGATATTAAATATTTTTTTTTTTAAATAAATTATGGCAAAAAAAAAATTAGAAAAAAAAAATTGACGTAGAAATTTTAAAAAACAAAAAATGTAATTTTTTTAAAATATTTTTTTTATTAAAGAAAATTAAAAAACTGTCGACAGCTAAATTTAATGCCATATTTTTTAGAATTTTTTTAACAAATAAATTATGGCCAAAGAAAAATTTTTTAAAAAATTGGCAAGAAATTTAAAAAAATAAAAAATGCAATTTTTAAAAAATTATTTTTTTTGAACAAATTTTTTTAATAAAAAAAATTAAAAAATGACTGCTAATTTTACTGTCATTTTTAATAAAAAAATTTTTAAATGTCGGCTTATTTTATTTTTATAAGAAATAATTTAATAATATCTTTTACTTGAGATGTTCCAGAAGATTTTCTTTATTATTGTTATAATTAGTTAATAATTAAATATTCACGGAATATTTTAATCTTGTAAAGGTCAAGGTTTAAGCCTGCGTTTAGTTAATCTTTGTGGACTTTGTGTCCTTGAAGTCTAAAGGATTTTTATTTCTTTATTTATAGATTTTTTTTGGTGTCGGTTTTTGTTATCTTGTTTATTATTTATTAATAAGAGCCGGTTGAAATTTTTTGTAGTTTAGAATTTTCTGGAGCAGGGTTAAAAATTTTGTATAGAACTAGTGACTTGCAACTAAGGGACTTTTGAGATTTACGGATTGTGAATAAGAAAATTTTGGCTTGATTTTTTATATGTATGACAAGTTTGAGGACTTTTTAAAAAAATTTTTTAAATAGATTAGATTATTTATTTATTTTTGCTAAAGCCTGATGGCTAAATGGCAAAGTTAATTCCTCTTATAATTATTTAAATGATAAATGACTAAGGTAAAAGCTCCAATTGTTGACATGGGTCTAAATATTGACACTCTAAATTATTTTTAAATATATTTAATCATCTGTAATAAGAATAACTATCATATAAATTTTTATCAAATTCTAATTAATTAAAAAATTGAAAAAAATTACTGTCAGTTAATATTAAATATTAATTATTCAAAAATAAAGTTAGCACCAGTTAAAACCTTACGAGCGTCTATTTTCTTAACAACTTTGGTTAGAAAAGCAATTGTTTTAAATGCTGTTTAAATTAATTTCTTCATCTAGTTATATGATCTTTTTTTTTATTTTTTTCAATTAACAATATATGAAAAATTTATAAAATTGAATAATCGAAATTAATTGTTTCCTTTATAATATTTAAATAATGGGTGTCAATAACTAGTTGATAATTTTTAAGTTGAATCTCATATTGACAGCCAGTTGACAGCGCTAAGACGCCTTTTTTTGACTTTAACTGAAAAAATTAACTGTAAGAGTTTGAACTCTTCTGATTAAATAAATTATTTTTTATATTTTTAATAGTAATTAATCATTTATGGAAATTATTATTAATAAACTTTAATAATATTGATTGCTTAGTAATAAGTTTCGATAAATAAGAATAAGCAGATGATTCTAGGCATGCACAGTATAGGTGTCAATAATTGGGGCTAAGGTATGTCAATAATTAGATCAATCAGTTTTTTAACCTGTCAATAATTGGTGTCTCCGGATAATCTATTTAATTATTTAAAATTAATTAGTAAATATCAGTGATTATGATTTTAAAAAAAAGAAATTGATTAGTAAAATTATTACTTGAGACATTACCACAAACAATATTCAATGATAGTGATATTTGATTGCTTAAAAAAAATCAAATCATAACTTTGTCTTTTATAGTGTCAATAATTGGGGCTTTTAACCAATTTTTATTCAATAAATTTTTTTATTGGATAAATATATTTTCGCCGTAATATTAAAAATTTAATTTATTTTAAAATTGCAAAAATTTTGGCCCTACTTATAATAAATTATTTTAGAAAATCTTATAAAACATTAAAAAGGCACTAATAAAATTTAATTTTTAAAATTGTTGCTAAAGTATTATTAATTAAAATACTAATTAATAAAAAATTTTTACAGCTCCACCACCTTCATATGATTCATTATTTGGGCGTATGAGAGAAGCTCACAAAACATCAAAAGGCGTGTTTGATTTTTTACTAAACATCGTAGTTCTCCTTTTAGGAACAAGTAAGCAAAAACTCAATCAATATACATAAATATATATATATATATATATATATGTATATTTATATATAAGTCTTGACTATAAATGGCTGGAGTAATTTATACTGTTGTTTACTCTTGCAGTTGGCTGTACGATAATAATTGGCGTGACAATAGTAGTACCAGTTTGTATGATGATAATCGGAGCAGTATATCTGTACGACTGTCCACAAGGCGAGTACATTCCAGTGTACTTACTAGTCGGCGGGGGCTTTGGTGTATTTAAGCAGCTATTATATCTATCAGCACGTGTCCGTCAGCGGCCAGAGGACAGGGACGAGGAGAGAATACGCCAATCGCCGACCTTAACGCTAATTAATTGCTTTACACTCGGATGGTTTATTATCGGTAATTTGTTACAGCAATCAATCAATTTATTTTACTAATACGCTAGTGACCTGGTCGTTCAATTGTTTTTAAATTACTCAATTACTGGTAATTTAACTTATTCGAGAAAAATCAACCGATTGTTTTTTTAAAAACAAATTTTATTATTATTATCTATATTATTGAGAGAATAAGAAAAATTTTGTGGCCAGAATAGTCATATGATAAAATCGGTTTTTTTTTAGTAATAAGTATTTGAGCTGCAATCAAAAATATCTCTAGATACATAATTAAGAAATGACCTTGTATTTCGAGAACTATTGACATTTTTAAAGATATGAGCTCATTCTGATGTTACACTCATCGAGACCTTTCATTTGAGTACCCACATCAATTTTTCATATATTTTATATATTTATATATTCCACATATATCATATATATGATATATATAAAAAATGCCATGTGGGTACTTGAATAAAAGGTCTCAATGAGTGTAACATCGAAATGAGTTTATATCTTAAAAAATGTCAATAATTAAGAAACAACCTTGTATCTTGAAAACTATTGACATTTTTCATGATATAAGCTCATCCCGATGTTACACTCATTGAGACCTTTCATTTGAATACCCACATCAATTTTTCATATATATATATATATATGTATGAAAAATATATCAGAAATGCATGTGGGTACTCAAATGAAAGCTCTTGATGAGTGTAATCTCAAGATGAGCTTATATCTTTAAAAACTTAAATATTTAAGAAAATACAGTGCAATTTAACAAGAATCATTATTTAGTTAAAGCAAAATTTTATTTATTTATATTTCTCAACTTACGGCAGTCACGTAGTGACTGCAAAGTACTTAATCAATTATTAGAGTTTTAAAACTTTCAATAAAATGTAATTGCTTTTAAATCGGTTGATTTTTCTTCAAAATATCGCGAAATTTAACTCTATTAATAACACCACCCTAATGATATTAATATACCTAAAAATTATTCGTAAAAATCTAACTAATAATATTTCTAGGGTCAATGTGGGTTTACAAGGAATACGAACCAAATTATGATCCATCACTGGGCAAATACTGCAATAAAACCCTCTATTTATTCGCATTCTGGCTAATAACCCTAGTATACATTTTCCTGGGAGTAATAACAGCTGGGTTATGTTGCATCTCAATCGCAACAATTATTTTCCAAAGACGACCACCAGATCGTCTAGTCGCCATGTGAAATACCGTTATTCCTATTTCGTTGATAAGAATTAATTAACGCACAATTTAATAATTGAGAATTAATTAATTAATTAATTAATTAATTAACGTGCCATCGGTTTTATTTAAATTACTAAATACATTAAAAGATTGTTTAAAATTACGACATGATACTTCATGGACGAGCTGTGGATGTTTTGTTATTTTTTAATTGAATATTCTTGTGCCAACTCGCAATATTAATTGTATTAATTACATCGACGCAATTAATATTACTGTATTTTTAGTTTAAATACTCATTAGATTTTTTTAAATCAAAGTAGAAGACTGTAAGAAACATTTATTATTTTCCGTCCACGGAATTAAACTTTTTTTTTTTAATAATTATTTATCAGTGTTGTAAATAATTATTTTACTCTAAGATTATTATTAAATATATATTTAACCTATAAGCAATTAATAATTAATTATTATTATAAAGAGAACAAACATAATTTCACTATGAATATTATACTCATTATTTTTACCTAAATTTAATATATAAATATATACCATATATATTTATATACACGTATTTATAATATTAATATTGTATCTTATAATACTTTATGTATAAAAACTATGATAAGTTCTAATTATTAATAAATTATATTAATTATCGCAAGGATAATTTTTTTTTAATTTTTTAAACCCTTTAATAATTAATTATTAATTAAATTTTTTTTTAGAAAAAAAATTGACGAAAAATAATTATTCAAGTTTTTATTGAATAAAATTGGTTTATAAAGGGATAATTCATTGAAAATCATTAAAAAAAGAGATTTTTAATAGGATTTAACAAGATGGCGGCTGCAACTCCCGCGCCATAAAATGGCGGCTAATACCAAGCGCGGCAAATTTAAAAATGATTTGGAGGGAATTTATTTCAAAAAGTGACTTAAGGAGATTCACGCGAAGGAAAAGTTTTAAAACTAGTAGAATTATTAATTTAAATTTAAAAAAAAAAAAAATTTATTACCTTGTTAAAATAGACTTGAAAAATAATTATTCAAGTTTTTATTGCATAAAATCAATTTATAAAAGGCTTATTAATTAGAAATTATTAAAAAAAGAGATTGTCAATAGGATTCAACAAAATGGCAGCTGCAATTCCCGCGCCATAAAATGGCAGCTAGTACTAAGCGCGGCAAATTTAAAAATAACTAGGTTTATTTTAAAAAATGATATTCAAGGAGCTTCACGCGAAATAAAATTTTTAAAACATTCTGAAAATTTGTAAACTAAATTTACGTAGCCGAATAATTAATAAAAAAATTAAAAAACAAGTTTCGAATATTTTATATTTTTTATATAAAAAATTTATCACTAATTATTAAGTCAAAAATTTGTACTAAAAATAATTTCTACAACCGGAACAAGATAGTAAATGACACCGGATATTTCAATTATCTAATTTTGATCTATTGAATTAATAGGAAACAGGAAACTAGTTAATTATCAATTCAATCCTGTCTTTAATATTTTCTTGATTATAGATTTTCTGACTTGCTAGACACCGGAACTATTTAGCAACCCTCTTCCGTTTTATCTTTATTTACATTCAACCCCTATCCAAAATTCTATTATTACTTTGTTCATAAATAATATTTCCTTTTCGCATAATAATAATAATAACAAAAATTTCTTCCCGCTTTTATTTCTTATTAAAAAATTTTCTCTTAAAATTATTTAAATAAATTGAAAATAAATACCTTAAAAAAATCCCACGGTGTTTTTTTTTTTCTAATTTTTCAAATTTTTTCAAACCTATTAAATTAAATTAACAATAAAACAAATTAATATTTGTAATAAAAGTTTTTTTTATTTTTCTCAAGAAAATCAATAAATACCTTGGCGTTAATTAATAATTAACAAATTAATTAGTGTTAATTTATAATAAAAATTAAACAGCAGTTTTTAAAATACTGGATAATTTTTCACGACCTGTTACAAGCGGCAATCAGCATCTGCTTTTCCTTCTCCCTCTTTCTGACAGTCTCGAGATTACGCTGCTTCCATGCACTTTTACGGAGTTTTATTGGTCGAGAGCCGACGTATCTTCCTGAAACACACAAATAGACACACAGTCATCGTATCAGTCTCTTTTGTGTAAACAATCGAATATTTAATCTGTCTAGCTAAAAAAAAATAATGAGTCAAATTATTAATCAAAGAATTTATGTCACTGACACTAATTTTACGTTCCTATTTCTTCATACTAATTTTCATCATTTTCATTTTTAAATCTAATGAAATTCAAATTAGCAGTCTTGATCTTTTTTAATTTTTTTCTTTAACAAATATGTTTTTAATTTTTTTCAAAATAAAATTCTGCTATTAAATAAGTACTTTTGTTAAATTGCACTGTATTTTCTTAACTAATGACATTTTTAAAGATATAAGCTCATCCCGATGTTACACTCATCAAGAGCTTTCATTTGAGTACCCACATGCATTTTTGATATATTTATCATAGATACATATATATAATATATATTTTAAAAATATAAGCTCATCCCGATGTTACACTCATCAAGAGCTTTAATTCAAGTACCCACATGCATTTTTGATATATTTTTCATATATATATATGAAAAATTGATGTTGGTACTCAAATAAAAGGTCTCGATGAGTGTAACATCAGGATGAGCTTATATCTTTAAAAATTTCAATATTTCACAAGATACAAGGTCATTTCTTAATTATGTATCTAGAGATAGACCATTTTCAATTGCAGTCTAAATACTGATCATAATAAATTGACTATTGGTAAGAATGATATGAAACAAAATTGATCTAATATATTATTTAAATTATTGAAAAAAAGGAAATTAAATTGTACTTGCGACCCTATTTTCATACAAAAAAAATATTTTAAACCAAGGATTTATTGACAAGCAACAGGTGAGTGCGTCAATTCCTTTTTTTTCATTCATGCTTATGCCCTTCGAAGGCACTCAAGCTTCTTTTATACTAAAATATAATAACCTAAAAATACAAAAGTTACTTTTGTTGACAAATAAAGTGAAGTCATTAGCGCGCCTACACTCTTACAAGTTTATTTTTGGAACAATATTAAATAATGATTCGACGAGATTTATATTAACAACAAAGATTTATAAATTTATGAAGAACTTGTATTAATTTAATATCACTAAAAGTTTTTTTTTAAATGATAAAAAAAATTATTCAGAGTAACTTTAAATTTTTGTTCTGGAAAAATTGGATTTTTTTATAATTAATTTTAAAACCCCGATTTTTCCGTGTAAAAAAAAGAATTATGATTGGTTACGTCATTATGTCGTTTGAGAGCCAATGAAAATCACGGTATACACTTGGAATTTCCGTACAGCGCCACCTTAAATAACAACTAAGTGACACACCTAATCTAAAAAATAACTATTAGGACATACAAGTAATTATTATTTATTATAAAGTAATTTTTAAATTAATAGACATTTAAATAAAAATATGTGTGATGAAGGATCAATTCCAACCTATATTTGGTAAAACGGCAGTATATTTTTATAAAAACTGACAACGTTAACATAAATATTTTTAAATTTCGCCGTGCAGTGGCGTTACTCAACTAAATGACGTCACTAGCTTTTGAATAAAGATTCTAAAGAAGAAATTTAAAATTTAAAAATCATCCGAAAAATCAATTGTTAAAAAAATTTTCCATTTAATTCTCTCAATAACATTTATTAAACTTTCCAAAAAAAAAATAAAATCACCCACAAATTCTCTATTAATTTCTACAATTTAATATAAACATTCAATTCTTTATCATAAAATTCTGCAAAATATTATATTAATTATATTTATTTAAATTAATAGAAAAAGCTTTTCTGCACTCGTGTGTCAGCACACACTCTCTGCTCGTTGCGCCAACACACGCGCAGCTGAAAGCCCCATATAGTTAATTAAATATATTTCCAACAGATGGCGCTGCAGTTATTTTCTTAAAAGTATTTTAAATCAATATTTTGGCGGCAAATATTTTAAATTAATATTTTGGCAGCAAATATTTTTATTTTAAATTTTGTTCTGAAAAAAAATATCTATAATTTTTATTATTGATTAAAAAAAATTTATTTTGACAAAATAGCGGATCAGAAGTGTAATTAAAGTCATGAAGCAAGGTTACACCGACCAATTAAATTGCAAGAAGCAATTCTATCAATCGGTACCTCAAACCCCATTCATATATCCGTTCACTAATTCATCATTTCCAAATTTTGTCTTTATAACAATAAAATTTATTTAAAAAATAAAAATTAATTTATTATAGGGTAAATAGCAATAATTAACATAAAGTCCCATTTCTTTAGGTCACAAATAATCACAAATTCATTTTGATGATGATAATTCTTCTGATTCACTTGAAATTTTTTTATTCTTTTTCTTTTTTTCAATTAAAGCTTTTTTACTAATTATTTTTTATTTTTTTAATTGCTTAGCAATTTTTTCTTCTAATAATTCGTTCTTTGATATAACCGTTCACTAAAAAAATTACAACAAAATAAAATTTAATAATCAAAAAAGATTTCAAGTATTATTTTAATTATAAATATACATTTTATAATGATTATTTTTATATTTACAAAATATTGAATGACTAAAGTACTTTAAACACTTGACAGATTTAATTTTAAGGTTGAGAAGTTAGTAATATAAATATACGGTCATTAATTGGATTGTGATAAAATCAGAGGGTCTAATAAATGACCGAATGAATTTTTTACTGGGTAAAGGGCTTCTGACGGATCCAATAGTTGACCGGTCTTAAAATAATATTAAAACTTATAATTTAACTTTATTTTATCAAAAAAATTGGAATCTGATCTTTAATTAACATAATAAAACTAAAATATTTTATATTATGCCGATAAATATCACTAAATTAATGATGAAATGCACTTACTCTCCAATTGTACGGTAGTTATTTTTGACCGCTTTATGGCTGGTTGCGTTGTAAACAAACTCACAACATTTTTTTAAAACTATAATCACTACGCAATTAATTGGATAATTTTTTATTATGATGATTAAATGTCATATTTTTTTATTTTAATACTTTAAGAAAAAAAAAACCCTTGTAAAATATTAATTAATTAACTTTTTTATACATCGGTCAAGTAATTGGTGACTGGTCAACAACTGGTGCATTTACCCTAATTTAGTTTAGCAAATAAATTATTCAAATGATTAAGATATACTTGATAAGGTTGAAGAAATGTTATATTAAGTAGGGAGAAATACAGCAGAGGGAAGACCAAACTGTGATTGGTTAGTTTTCACCCAAATAAAATCCAAAGTTACCAAACATTTGAATTGAACCAGCATCTGACAATATTAAGAGGGGATAGAATCATGTCTGTGGGTAACCGGTATATATAAATAATAAAACGGCGAGTAATTCTGGTATATATAAGGGGTTGTGGGAGTTGCCAGTGGAAGTTGTCACCAACCACGGGGTTGAATGAGTTAACCGCGGATTCAAACGTTCGCGATTCTTCCAGAGATAACGACATACGCTCTTGTTATTTATTTATTTATTTTTTACACGCTTTTTTTCCAAGTGAATTGTGAAATTTCTTTCTTTCAATTTTAAGTAAGTATTTTCTTTTTTTCTTTATTCTTATTTATTTTTTTATCATAATTAAAAGTTAAATTTTATTTATTTTTTTAACTTAGAATTTTTTTTTTATGATTAAAAATTTCTATTTTTTTTATTAAATATTTTTTTTCTGTAAAATTAGTGTCAAAAATAATTTATAAAATTTAAAATATTAAATCATACTTTTAAATACATTTTTTTTAATATTAAAAAAAATTTTTATTTATTTTTGTGAAAATTCAAAGAAAAATATCAAAAATTTCATTAAAAATTGTTTTAATAATTAAAAATTCTAATTTGCTACTTTTATACTTTTTTTATCATAATTATAAGTTAAACATGTTATTTTTAATTTTTTTAAGAATAAAAATTTTAGCTTTTTTATTTAATATTATTAATTTTTTTTTTTTTCGTAAAATAAGTGTAAAAAATAATTATTGAAATTTTTAATAATTAAAAATATAAAATCATATTTTTAAATGTTTTTTTTTGTTAAAAAAATTCAAAGAAAAATCTTTAAAATTTAATTAATAAAATACGTTTTAAAAATAAAAAAAAAAAAAAAAAAAACAAAAAAAAAAAAAGTGATTATCATCAATAAATATAGCCTAGATGATTCAGATAAATAATTTAGAAACCTGTCACTTAAATTCCGAACAACACTTTAAATTTCTCTTTAAAAAAAAAAAATAAGAATCAATAAATGTTAATATATTTATACACTAGAAGTAATAATAAAATAAATTATTAAATAATAAATAAATATATTAATGTCTAAATATATAAATAAATATATTGAGATATTATTCTTAATTCGCCCACGTAAAAGTTAACGATCACAAGGCGCCAACCATTTACATTTAATATATTTGTTATAAATTTATAAATATACACGGAATTTATTTTAAAATAGTCGGACGTATTTTTAAAATGCTTTTACAATGTAAACATTACTAATCAAATTTATTTATAAAAAGAGAGTAATAAAATATTTATTTTTACCTTATAAGAAAAAATTAATTAATTTTTTTTTTTTAGATAAAATGGAGAAGATGATAATAGTTTACTTCTTCAATGTTAACTTAATTTTGATGAGTCAAAGCGCTCCGGTGGTTACAGAGGAACATATAAAGTGGAGAGAGAATACTCTGACACCTGTTTGGCTCCCGGCGGCACCAATTAGAAATGATCAATATCCGGTTGATTATAATTTATTGTAAGTAATTATAATTATTTTAAAAAAGAAATTTTAAATAAAAATATTTGCCGCCAAAATATTGATTTAAAATACTTTTAAGAAAATAACTGCAGCGCCATCTGTTGGAAATATATTTAATTAACTATATGGGGCTTTCAGCTGCGCGTGTGTTGGCGCAACGAGCAGAGAGTGTGTGCTGACACACGAGTGCAGAAAAGCTTTTTCTATTAATTTAAATAAATATAATTAATATAATATTTTGCAGAATTTTATGATAAAGAATTGAATGTTTATATTAAATTGTAGAAATTAATAGAGAACTTGTGGGTGATTTTATTTTTTTTTGGAAAGTTTAATGAAAGTTATTGAGAGAATTAAATGGAAAATTTTTTTAACAATTGATTTTTCGGATGATTTTTAAATTTTAAATTTCTTCTTTAGAATCTTTATTCAAAAGCTAGTGACGTCATTTAGTTGAGTAACGCCACCGCATGGCGAAATTTAAAAATATTTATGTTGGCGTTGTCAGTTTTTAAAAAAATATACTGCCGTTTTACCAAATATAGGTTGTAATTAATCCTTCATCACACATATTTTTATTTAAATGTCTATTAATTTAAAAATTACTTTATAATAAATAATAATTACTTGTATGTCCTAATAGTTATTTTTTAGATTAGGTGTGTCACTTAGTTGTTATTTAAGGTGGCGCTGTACGGAAATTCCAAGTGTATACCGTGATTTTTATTGGCTCTCAAAAGATATGATGACTTAACCAATCATAATTCTTTTTTTTCCCCGGAAAAATCGGGGTTTTAAAATTAATTATAAAAAAATCCAATTTTTCCAGAACAAAAATTTAAAGTTACTCCGAATAATTTTTTCTATCATTTAAACACTAATTTTTAGTGGTTTTATATTAACCCAAGCTCTATTTTATAAATATAGAATACTAATCATACTATAAAAATTTTTTCAAAGAAGTTAGAGATTATAATTTTTTTTTATCTTTCAGAATGAAGCATAAAAATGAAGATAAAAATAATTGGGAAATCAGATCAGTATACGGATCATTACCAGAGATTAAGTCAGCATTACCACGACAAATAGGAAATAGGCCACCAAAGAAAGATTCTATTTTATCTCGCAGCTGGGGCGCAGGAGGATTACCTTTTTCTGTTCTTTATATGAACTCACGTGGGTCTAGAATTCAACCCACTGCTGGTCATTAATTTTAATTATTTAAAAACTCTAAAAAATTATTAATTTTATTAAAAAATTAATGAATTTATTAAAAATTATTAATTAAAATGTGAATAAAATATTCAACAAATTTTTTTATATCCCGCAGATACGAAGACAACCACAAGGAAGCCTATAGAGAACACCTCGACGGTAAAAAATCGCGCAAATAGCCGTAATGGACCAGGACGAAGACAATATTCAATTATACCGCAATTGTTAATATCCTACGGCTGGAGTCCATTCGGAAAATAGAAACCAATTGTCTCCCAATGAATCTTTATTATAATCAACGTTTATCAATTAATCCCCCAAGGACTATTAATTTATTTTATCGTAATTGATCTCGGAATTCGTAATTGATCTCATTTATTTATATTATTTTTTGTAAATTTTTTTTAAATTATTTATTGTATTTTTAAAATAAAATTCTTTGATTGAAGCAATTTTTTTTAAACCTTGAATTTTTCTTTTAAATCATCGCAAGTATAATTTAATTTTTTTTTGTAATAAAAATATTAATAAAAAAAAGAAACTCACCTCCCATCTCCTTCAGCGCCTTGCCGCAGTCATAAGGATCTTTGAATGAAATAAATCCAAATCCTTTTGTCTTATTTGTCCGCTTGTCTCTGATGACCTTCGCGCGTTGAAAGCTTGGATATTTACTGAAGACTCTGACCAACATTTCGTCAGTTACATCGTTGCCCAAGTCACCGCAAAATAATCTAAAGTCATCTGTAAATATTTTTATTTATTATTAACTAGAAACCTTGCAGTTACTATGTGAACTATAAATAAATAAAATTGTGCTTTATTAAATAATGAATTTTGTTAAATTGCAGTGTACTTTCTTAACTATTGATGTTTTTAAAGATATAAGCTCATCCCGATATTACACTCATCAAGAGCTTTCATTTGAGTACCTACATGCATTTTTCCATATATTTTTCATATATACATATATATGATATATATAAATATATAAAATATATCAAAAATGCCATGTAGGTACTCAAATGAAAGGTCTCGATGAGTGTACCATCGAGATGAGCTTATATCTTTAAAAATGTCAATAGTTTACAAGATACAAAGTAATTTCTTAATTATTGACATTTTTTAAGATATAAACTCATTTTGATATTGCACTCATCAAGACCTTTCATTTGAGTACCTACATGGAATTTTTGATATATTTTTCACATATACATATATATGATATATATATATATATATATATATATATATATA